TTGCCTGGAGAGCCCACTGTCCTGCACCAAAGCAGCTACACTTGCATTTCTGCTCATGACGTCACGCACCTGGGTGGGGGGGGGGTCAGACATTTGTGATGATGTGTGTCAAGAGGGGGGTTTGAGAAATGTGACGTCACATCAAAATGCGCAGCTTTAAATAGAGACAACGCGTTCTACTTAATTAAATAGACTTTTTAATAAATGTTTTCTCCTATAACATCAGAGTGCAGCGCCACATTAAATACGCACTACAATGACAATAGCTTAAAGCGATTTAAAGCATGTTTTTTTCCTGGGGGGGGGGGGGCAGAGCTTTGTGACGTCATATTTGAGGGGGGGTCTGACTTTTTGTGACGCCGTGTGACGACGGGGGGGGGGGGGGTCAAAAATCGTCCAAAATCGCGTGACGTTATTTATGGATCGCCCCTTGGCAAATATAATAGAATTGTTTTTTTCCATTGCCTTCTTCTGTGTGAACAATACTTAGTCAGAGACCTCCCCTCAGACCAGTTCGCCATGGATGATCCTATCAGGCACTGGCTGAGCCAGTGGGGGGGGGGGGGGCACGTGCCCCCCAAAATGATCCAATCGAAATCCCTAATTTCTATCGGATCGTTGGGGTTTATTTAATAATAAATCGGCATTTTGCGACCCCCACTGCCGCTGTGGAGCATATTACTACGTGCCAATGACTCTATGAGATGATAGGACAATAGTCTGAGTCCATAAATGGCAATAAGTAACGGCAAAGTGCTTATAAGTGACTCACATAATTGTGCTCAGTCACGTATACAGTACACAACTTCCCTGAAGGCATCAACACCTTCAGCGAGCGCGATTCCGATCACACAACGCGGTTCGAATTCGACCCTCGATCGATGGCTGTGCCATCGCCGCACACGCGTCGAATACAAAGCAAGGGACAAGTCCTTACTTACTAACAACCTCTTACTTACTAACAACTCCTTACTTACTAACTCCTCTATCATTTTTCATTGCTGGAGGGGTTGCCCCCCCCCCCCCCCACCTGAAAATTCTGGCTCCGCCATTGCTGTCAGGAGTTTGAATCTCCAAACGACATAGCTCTGAGGTTCATCGGAGCACGCAAGCCCCTCCACGTGGGGGAGGGGCAGGACTGGAGCTGGGGGGTGGGGTGCTGAGAATAAAAGGAAGTGTACGGGGAGGGAGAGAGGAGACAGCGAGCAAGAGGGGATGGACGGAGGGAGAAGCAGCGAGTGGACACCCAACATCCCTGGCGTGGTCAGTATGGACAGTCCCCGACTTTCGAACAGGCTCCATTCCCAAGACCCGTTCGTAAGTCGAACGGTTCATAAAGTCGGAACACAATAATATATGGCATTTAAATGCCCATACGGTCAGTGCTATAAAATGTGTTCCAGTTCAACAAAAAAAGGAAACATTGTTCAACTCATAAATAATAAATATACATTTGCGCTTTATTGACCTGGTCAAGGCCTATGATACCATTAATAGGCCAGGGCTCTGGGTTATTTTTCATGCTTTTGGAGTTCCAGACTGTCTGCTCAGAATCATTAAGGACCTTCATGATGGCGGGCAGGCCCGGGAAAAGTTGCGTGGTCAGGTGTCAGAGCCATTGTTTGTTCACCTTGGGGTGCGACAGCGATGTCCTCCGGCACCTACATTATTTAACGTCTTCTTTGACCACATAGTTCGAGAAGCTTTCTGTAGATGCACGAGTGGAATCTCCATTTGGTTTAGATATAATTGAAGGCTGATCGATGCCAGAGTCTGGTCAAAGGACGGCTCTCTATTGGTCAACCATTTTATGCATGCGGATAATCTGACGATTGCTGTTCACTCTGAGAAGTTGGCGACACTCCTGCTGAACCTGGAGCATGCTACTAAGTTAGTGGGCCTTTCCATCAACCCCACACAAAAAAAAGACACCTGCCTGGGTATTTGATGTGATAAAATGCTCTCCTTGCTCAACTCTCCATGTGTGACGGGGCAGTTGTGGAGAGAGTGGAGATGTTTCCATACTTGGGGAGTGTGCTTATGACCAGCTCCGGTTGGGCAGCCGAGGTCTCACTCCAAATCAGCTGAGCGGCATTATATTTTCATCGGTTCGCTTAACGCTGTGTGGAAGCTACCTGGCCTGTCGCTCCATACCAAGCTCCAGGTCTTCTATGCTTGCGAAATGTGGGTCCCTCTAAAGTAACATCTGCGCCGGTTCGAAACATTGAGGCTAACCTGCCTACGATCCTTCCTGGGTTTATCCAGAGCTCACAGATCCTTGAAATATATGGACAAAGTCCCATCACGTGTGCTAAATGTTTAATTTAACTGCACGTGTGCTAAATGTTATGTTGGGCAAACAGGACAAATGATCAGCACGATACTAAAAAAAGTCAGAGAAATATGAAATTATCCCAAATACAACTGTCAGCAGTAGCAGAACACGCGTGCCAACAATGACACTCAATTGATTTTTATCATGTTGAAGTTCTGTGCAAAATTAGTTACTACTGGCCAAGACTAATTAAATAATCTATCGAAATTGAAAGAAAACAAAAACTTTAACTTTTCAGATAGCTACCGCCTTAGTGCTGCGTAGATGCGAATCATCAAATAATATATTATTTAAATGCGTGCCTATGAAGGGCAACATACTTCAATAGGGATTACTGTTGGTACGGCTATTTTAATACACACAATAGACAGGAAGGACAAGTGGAAAATGATGGCAAGCTACCATTCCTGGATGTTTTGATCGAGAAGAGACCTGATGGTTTGTTAGGACACTCTGTCTACAGGAAAGCCACCCACACGGATTCCTATCTAAAACCTGATTCCCACCACCATCCAGCCCTGAAGAATTCCCTGATTGCATCTCCGACCAGCACCACCTACCCAGTGAACTGGAGCACATACGCCAAGCCCTCAAGATGAATGGATATTCGGACTGCACAATCCGCAAAGCTGTATCCCCAACCATGGGTAGAGAACCACCTGAGGACCCAATCAAAACCATCACCTTTCCATACATAGAAGGGATTACCAAAAAGGTTTCCAAAATCTTGAACAAACACAAGATTCAGGTTCGATTCAACACAGTACACAAAATCCGTGACCTGATCCCATCTGTGAAAGATGTGATTCCTGACATGCAATACCCTGCTGTCTACAAACTAAGTTGTGGCTGCGGTAGCAGTTACATTGGGGAAATGATACGACATGTCTCGGACCGTGTTCGCGAACACAAGGCAGATTTGAAACACGGCAGAACTAATACCTCTGCCGTGGCTGATCACTGCTTGAACGCGGAGGGCTCACACGACATTGTTTTTTTCCGAGACCAACGTACTCTGCAAACCTTCGGGCACCATCAAAGATTCGTTCATGAAGCCATCCAGATATATAAACACAGACACAATTTCAACAGAGAAGATGGGTACTAACTGAGCAATCATTGGAAGGACATTATTAACCAGTTTAGGTCATAACTGGCGGTGATGTTCCCTTCCTACCTGCCTATGTCAGCAGTTATTTGCGACTCTCTGAGTTACATTCACTAACACAGCCACCGTCGCTTGCTTGCTCCGATGTGGCTGTGGTTCTTTCCGAGCTTTTTCCGATCTTACATTTACATGCAGTCCTCGATGTGACGGCGCGCTGCGAGCTTTCATTGACATGCTAATCACATTTACACAGTACATTTGCATGCAAATTTCTCCGATCTTACATTCACATGCAGTCCTCGATGTGACGGCGTGCTGCGAGCTTTCATTGACATGCTAATCACATTTACACAGTACATTTGCATGCAAATTTCTCCGATCTTACATTCACATGCAGTCCTCGATGTGACGGCGTGCTGCGAGCTTACATTGACATGCTAATCACATTTACACAATACATTTGCATGCAAATTTCTCACTTTAACATCACTAGCCCCGCCACTCTCTGAGTTACATTCACTAACACAGCCACCGTCACTTGCTTGCTCTGATGTGGCTGTGGCTCTTTCCGAGCTTTTTCCGATCTTACATTTACATTGTGTAGGTATACCATCTTGTCCCTGACATCCTTGGAGAGGTCTTTGGTCTTGGCAATGGTGGAGAGTTTGGAATCTGATTGATTGATTGCTTCTGTGGACAGGTGTCTTTTATACAGGTAACAAGCTGAGATTAGGAGCACTCCCTTTAAGAGTGTGCTCCTAGTCTCAGCTCGTTACCTGTTTAAAAGACACCTGGGAGCCAGAAATCTTTCTGATTGAGAGGGGGTCAAATACTTATTTCCCTCATTAAAATGAAAATCAATTCATAACATTTTGACATGCGTTTTTCTTGATTTTTTATTGTTATTCTGTGTCTCACTATTCAAATAAACCTACCATTAAAATTATAGAATGATCATTTCTTTGTCAGTGGGCAAATGTACAAAATCAGCAGGGGATCAAATACTTTTTGTTCCCTCACTGTAACAAAAACTGACACTTTAGCTGCGGATGGCCCTATCGACTGTCTGTCGAATCTACTGCAAGGACCCCTCCCTTCGAGCAACACCTATGCGACGGTGACGTCACCACGGCGCCTGTGCCAGCCCAGGTGCACTTTGAGGCCACGTGAAGTGTCGAATGCTCGCTGCTGACAGGAGGTCTCGGGACAGACCAAGGTGGCATACGGTGGCACCTGAGTGAACCGGTTTCCGGTTAATGAAACAAGCCGCTGAGCTTAAGATACACAGGTGGGGGGTGGGTGGGTGGGGGGATAGGTGGGAGGGGGTGTTGGTGGGTCGGAGGGGGTTGGGGCGGGTGGGCGGGGGTGGGTGGGTGAGAGGGGGAGGGTGGGAGGGGGTTGGGAAAGTGAGAGGGGGAGGGGGTGGGTGGGGGAGGGGGCGGGAGGGGGTGGGGGCGAGAGGGGTTGTGGGGGATGTGAGGTGTTGTGCTTGGACAGGGTTTCCTTAAGTGCAGGTGGGGGAGAATTGCGGTGTTTAGGGGGGATGGGTAGAGGGAACGGCCCAGGCGCCTTGCGAGGTGGGGAGGGTCCTGGATACTCAGTCTCACGTCGGGGAGCGAGGAGCGTGCATTTGGCTGAGACACATTTACGCATCGTTCGTCGCCTGCTCGTTTCTGAAAAATATCTCTTTAGCTCAGTGGATTTTTACCTGGCAACATAAAAGTAGTCAAGTTTCGTATACATTTATTTTTTTGATTTGCTTCCCTTTCCTATACTTTGCACCTCCTATCGTTTAAAAAAAAAGAAATTGTTGGAACTTTCTTACCCGCCCCTACTGGGCGTCTGTCAAAAAGAGCGTCGGAGCGTATCTTGATTTCTCCCGGATAAATCAAGATTCGGATTCTTTCGCACCGTACGTGGCTAACTGTGCTCATCGGAGGAACGGATCTGGACTGTGAACTCTCCGAGGTTGCCTGCAGGTATGAGTCCCACAGGCTCGCTCGCTCACCTCACCTGTGCATAGCCCTCGCCTAGTGATAGACGCACACAGGCTGGCAAGGTGCGATCGAGCACAAATTCAAAACAAGGGGAGGAAATAAAGAACGCATACAAACTCCGCACAACCCGAGGGCTATGGGTGCAATCTCCGGCGAAACTTCATAACCATGTGCACTTCCTCCCCAAGCAGCATACGGGTTATGCTGAAGCAGCAATACATTTTGCCACATTCAATTCATGTTTCGGGTGGATGAGGGCTTACGACACATTTTTAGACGACCTCACCAACAAACAAACAAAAAACTAATTGTAGTTTGTTATTGCTGGCGTTTGGCATTGAGCCGTACACGAGCAGGTCCCTGATGTTTGTGTTTCTGCTGAAGCGCTGGTTCTGTCCCGTGACCTGCCAGCGAGCCTTCGACACTTGACGTGGCCTCAAAGTGCACCTAGCTTGGCACAAGCACCGTGGTGACATCACCGCCACTTAGTGGCGAATGGCGGTTGTTATTGTTGTCATGACATTCTGCACCCTGTCCTGTATCCTTTCGGTTAACTGGTCGCATCATTTATTCACGGTTGACCGAGGAGGCACATTGGCAGGCACTGCCCACTATCTGTTCATGGTATTTGTGAGCACTGAATATCCTGTTCGTTTCGTTGGCTTTGTTATTTGAATCCCCCATCATTACTGCACGAGGAATAAATACGGACAACATGTGAATATGATATTGCCCATTTCGTGTGGTCAGGGTGCGATGCTGTGCAGAGGAGGTATAAGTGTGAGTCTAAGATGGACGGTCTCATGTTCAGAAAGAAGCTGTGAACTAACGAAGTGAATTGTATTGCTGGATGAAAATTGTGAAGGAAATTGAATGAAGACATTACGTTGCTTATAGCCTAGAGCTGTAACTGCGTGCACAAGTGTGTGTGCCTTATTGTGATCATTAAAACTAGTCATGTTGGCCTTACAGGAATTAATGTGTGTTAATTGTATGTCCTCTACACGCGGTGTGCAATGCATCCTAATGTAAAAAAAAATACCTCCAAATTAGTACATTGGGATTACACGTACCAATGTTATCCTTTACTTACAAAAACTTGGCAGGACCCTCATTCAAACAAAGGTTCGAGATCTAGTGATGCTTCCTGGGTAAACAAGTGTAATAATCTTCTTTGGTTCTTTTGGTAAAGTCACGTAGAATGAAAATAAAATAATAAAATAACACAATACAATTCTCACGACGTTTCGGCCACAACGCAAGCGGCCGTCTTCAGGTGAAAGGTACAGACCTGTCGGGACGACAGAGCTTCAATGGAAACGTCGTGAGAATTTTATTGTGTTATTTTATTATTTTATTCTCATTCTACGTGACTTTACCGAAAGAACCAAAGAAGATGAATCCTTGCAGTCACGAAAGCTTTAAATCGAAAAGTGTAATAATAATAATGATCCATGGATGCTCTAATGTAGGAGCAGTCTATCGTGATGAAGTTCCGGCACTTCGCGGCACTTCTGCTCGTGGGCTCGCTGCTGTTCGCCGCTGCCATCACCGACATCCCCTGGACCCTGCTTGGCATGGCCCCCCCAGCCTCCAGCAGACAGGGTCATGGGACTCTGGCGCAGCCCCTTAACCGGACCAACGTTGACCTGCCGCTAAGCTCTCCCTGCGGACCCTGGGCTGTGCTTCTTACGCCTGTGACCGGAGCTCCGGCGCTACTCGTGTCCGCTTCCTGGGATGAGCGCGAGGGCCCTGCCCAGGCGCGGCTTCTCACCATCGTCAAGCGGGAGGGTCTGCCCGCGCTCCGCTGCCTCTTCTGCTGCGGCGGCGCAAGCGGTGAGCCGTTCGTGCATTCGCCAGCGCGCGTGGAGGTGCACAGGCTCCACTTCAACTTCCCCTGGGCCACGGCTGACGTCCTGTGCACCCCACCCGATGCCAACGTTTGTTCAACTCCCCAAGGGGTCACCCTGGTGCCTGCCGAGGGCCCCGTGCCCATTTCCATCCGTGCGCCAGGGCCCAATTCCTCCTCCTCCGAGCCAGCAACGCCCCGGCCCTCCTTCACCCCATTCTATCCCGGTGCACGGGGACCGTTGGGCCAGGAGAGGAATTTCATTCACGAGTTCGGCGTCTGCATCTCGACGCTGTTCGGTGGCTACGACAACGTCCTGCAGTTTGCTCAGGCCGTGGAGCTCTACCGACTCCTGGGCGCCAGCATTGTCACCGTCTACAGCAGAGGCTGTGGGCCCATGCTTGCCCGCTTGCTGGCGCACTACGAGGCAGCCGGTATCGTCGAGGTGGTGCCGTGGCCCATCGGGGTCCACCTGCAGCCCTCCAGTGGCTGGATGCCGGACGTGGATCCGGGCGACGTGCATTACCACGGCCAAACGGCTGCACTCAATGACTGCCTATACCGACGTATGGGCGACACCAGGTAACAGCTTTGAGAATTGTATTGCATCCCTGTCAACCCCTTATCAGTGCCCTACCTTTTTACAGACCAATTCAGACTTTATTGGTCACCCCCGTGCCCCTTATAAATCTCAACGTTCATCCTACAAAGTCCCATCACAAGAGAGCAATTGTAAAAGTAGACAAGGGCTTTTACATTATGAAGACCTCCTTTGCCAGTAACAAGATAAAGTAATAGGTTTTACCCTTTTGACTGGCACAAAAACTGACACCTTGATTCAAGGCATCATGTTTGCAATAACCACAACACAAGCAGTCAAAATGCAAACAAAAGAGACAACTGATAATGATATGCACTGCCCTTGAATTTGATTTGTCCACACCCGCGACGGCTTTTTTTAGAGCTTAGTCTCCACTGGTGTTGGACCAGTGGAGACTAAGCTGACCAAGCTCTCCACTCGTGGCCAAACATACACACCCGATTTGGGTCATCGGTAAGAACAGTATTCTGTATTTATACTAGTATTTATTGTCTAAGAATGTCTCTTGAATGGGGTTTTTACATCTGTATTTAACGTTTTAGTTACTTGCAATACAGTTCGGTACCTATTTAAATCGCTGTTTCAATATTGGGTTTTTACATTTCGTAAATATACCGACGTATGGGCGACACAAGTATTACATTTCGTGATTTTGGCTTTTGCGGCACTTTGCAAGAACGTAACCCCCGCGACAATCGAGGGTCCCTTCTAGGGGGCCGTCCATAAATGACGTCACGCGATTTTGGACGATTTTTGACCTCCACCCCCTCGTCACACGGCGTCACAAAAAGTCAGACTCCCCCTCAAATATGACGTCACAAAGCTCTGCCCCCCCCCCCCAAAACCATATTTCCATTTTGAAAATAAAACATGCTTCAAATCGCTTTAAACTATTGTCATTGTAGTGCGTATTTAATGTGGCGCTGCACTCTGATGTAGTAGGAGTGTTGTTATAACAATTCTATGTATATTTAAAGTTGCGAATTTTGATGTGACGTCACATTTCTAACCCACCCCCCCTCGTCACACATCGTCACAAATGTCTGACCCCCCCCCCCCCCAGGTGCGTGACGTCATTTATGGACGGCCCCTAGGGCTTATCAGCAGTCGGCCGTGTTAATCATACACTTGTTGACCCCATAATTGCCAAGCAGCAAAGATGCCTTCATCCTCCAGTAAATAGCCAATGGGCTGTAACTTAAAATGTCGGTTTTCACAGCCGATATTATACTTTATAATATTTAGTTTGGGGGGAGGTAGGCCAAGTCATGATCTAATTCTGACTAACATGAGGTTGCTACTGTTGATGCTTGACGTAGCTTCAAATGAAACGTTGCATCCATTTGTTAATTTAATTTGTGTACAATTGCTCTTCAATTTCTCGTGAGCCGAAACTATAATCACGTAAAATTGGTTTAACACGTAGGCGTTCGCGACCAATATCATCCATAATACGGATTTTATTTTTGCGAGTTCGCATAAATACGCGATATAACCGAAAAAAAACCCTTCATTATACTTAAAATTGGCTAATTAAGCTCCTGTACGTGACAATTTGACCGACTGGTGGTGGAGGGTCTTAAAGGGATGAACTTTGTCAGTTCATGACGTGGCCTAACCCATAAAATCTGTTGATAATAAAGTGGCTATAAATTATCAACATGGACTGGGCTGTAGATTGCACCCCCTCCTCTCCTTCTCACACCACATCATGGCTTTTGTCAAAATGTTTAAAATGACTTTTGATTGCCTGGGCCCCCCGCAGGTACTTGGCGACGACCGACATCGACGAGGTAATCGTCCCACTGCAGCACGAGGACTGGGCAGGGCTCATGAAGGCGCTGGAGTCTCGCTACCGTGTGAGCGTCTTCCACTTCAGAAACTACGTGTTCCCTCACTCCGCGCGCGACGCCACCTTGCACGCGACTTATTCCGCCCGCTGGCGCGGCGTCCCGGGCCACGACATCCTGACGCACGTGTTGCACGAGCCGCCCACGCCCGACAGCACCAAGATGATGGTGGAGGCGAGGCGCGTGGTGCGCGTGTCCGTGCACAGCGTGCTGCGCTCGCTGCGTGGGCAGCAGATCGTGCCAACGAATGCTGCGAGAATGTTCCACTTCCGTGACGCGATGCAGCCGGAGATGAGCAAGGAGCAGCTGAGCTACGATGCTAGACTCTGGCGCTATAACGCTAGCCTCGTGACCAACGTAGAGGCAGCCCTGAGTGCCGCTGGCCTCTTGCATCTCCCTTGACATCAAGGCGCATCAGGTTACACGTGGATCAGACTTGCACGAATACGACGGCATTCCTTTTTTTCGTTTGTATGTATAGGCAACTAAACAATCCAGTTTGTGAAGCCTCCAGGTGTAGACTTAACATTCCAGCGTGGGACTGACCATTTGTCTAATCTCACTTCAATCGACACATCCGTTGTTCCTGATGCCGTAACCTTTTCCAACACGTTGCGCCGCTCGGACTGACACTCTACTTGTGGGACGGGCCAACATTTATTTTGTGTTCTTTAGGACCAGCAACTCGAGTGAAGTTTTAACTGGGATTGGGACCAACTTTGGTGGCATTTTAACACGTAGGCTTTCGCGACCAATATATTTGGTGGCATTTATAACTTGTGCACCGCTCTTACATCAACCAAACGCACGGAAGAGCATCTCTCGGGGCCGTTCAATAGAGAGCCAGGCCACGCAACTAACACATTTCGGAATTATGGGACGCGGGAGGCATAGGGGTGGGTCGCAGAATAAAAGCGTGAAAGAAACATTTTTGAAAATCATCGTAAATAATGACCCCTACGTATTTTTGATCCGAACCCCCCCCCCCCCCCCCTCTAACACAAACAGATAAGGTCACCATTAATTAGTCCCACTACAAAGAAGGCCCCCTCAACCGTATGTCGAATGGTCTGGATCAGAAGGCCATCATGTGTTCTTACCCAGTGGTTCTTAACCTTTACTGAAGCCTTGCACCCCTTTGGTGCTCAATCACAAAAAAAATGTACAATGTTAATAAATACGTAGAGTTTGATTAAACAAAGTAGTTGTTGTACGTATGTGCCTGTGCTTAATTTATCTTTTCGATGATTTACCTTTTGAAAATAAATCTGGCCATGTCTCGCATCACCAGGCTAAGAACCACTGGTCTTACCCAAGGTCACCTCACAAGTGCACGTGGTCCTTATTTTAGTGGTGTGTGCTGTACTTTACGGAAACGTTTTTTTTATTGATGTTAACATTACGGTATTACGAGCAATAAAATGTCTAGTGCCTCCACATTCGCAAAGCCACGCGTTATAGGGACAATGTTTTTTTTAATATCAAAAGTTGCTCAAAAAATGGCCGAAAGCATCGCGTAGATTGCGTCTCTGCAAATTGCCCCGAAAAGAAAATCTCCTCGCGGATTCGGGGAGAAGCTGGCGTTGTTACCTGCCCGCTTGGGACATTGTCACCTGCCCGCTTGGGACATTGTTGAGCAAATACCATGGTTAAGGAAGCTGCAACCAAAGGAACCATTGTGTGTCAGTCGGAAAAAGAAAAATGGCGATTGTGTAAGTGGGCTATGGCAATAATAATAAATCTGCGTTCTTTTGAGACGGTTTAAAAAAAACCACATAGTTGACTAAATATTTAAAGTCCTGAAAAAGGTATCTAATACAAACAAAAACCCGAACACATTTAACGTGCGAGTTTAGCGCAGCGTAAGCGAGTTACCCACAATGCAATTGTAAACGTGCTGCTATTGATAATCATCACCTTAAAGCAGTGACATACAAGGTTGTGCCTGCAACAAAGGTAAGAAAGGTGGGTGCAGAGGGTGGTCCAGATGTCTTGCGATTTCCCCCCCCCCCCCCCATTTCATGCTTTAAAACGATATATTTTTGCATTCCAAATAGTTTTGTAAAATGTAAGTAATATAAATCTTGACTTAAAGCTTTCGTTACTGCAGGAATTCATATTCTTGGGTCTTTCGGTAAAGTCACGTAGATAGGTTCAAAGAAAATACCAAAAAATAATTTTAAAAACTACGACGTTTCGATCGCAACGCAAGCAATCGTCATCAGAAGACAGCCGCAGTACAGAGACGCAACAACAGCAGCTACAGCCGCAGTACAGAGACACGGACACAGCAGCAGCAGCTACAGCCGCAGTACAGAGACACTGACACAGCAGCAGCTACAGCCGCAGTACAGAGACACGGACACAGCAGCAGCTACAGCCGTAGTACAGAGACACGGACACAGCAGCAGCTACAGCCACAGTACAGAGACACGGACACAGCAGCAGCTACAGCCGCAGTACAGAGACACTGACACAGCAGCAGCTACAGCCGCAGTACAGAGACACGGACACAGCAGCAGCTACAGCCACAGTACAGAGACACTGATACAGCAGCAGCTACATCCGCAGTACAGAGACACTGACGCAGCAGCAGCTACAGCCGCAGTACAGAGACATTGACACAGCAGCAGCTACAGCCGCAGTACAGAGACACTGATACAGCAGCAGCTACAGCCGCAGTACAGAGACACTGACACAGCAGCAGCTACAGCCGCAGCACAGAGACACAGACACAGCAGCAGCTACAGCCGCAGTACAGAGACACTGACGCAGCAGCAGCTACAGCCGCAGTACAGAGACACTGATACAGCAGCAGCGCCCTCGTCAAACAGTTTTTCAGTTTCAGTGTATTTATTTTGGTATAGCCCTGTGAGCCATTCGGCTCTTGAATCGGGTGCAACCGCAACAAACAAAAAACAAAAACACGAACAAAGAAAACATCTTAAAGTGACTGTGTTCCTGTGCAAACAGAAAATCCATGAAAAAAAACCCATCAAAATATTCCTGAAAAAAGCATCGTGGCTCCAGCAACAGCAGCTGCTGCCCCTTCGCTGATTTTCTGAGCCGCGGTCAGAGACGTCACTACTCATAGCTGCCCGAGCTCATTGCGCGATGTATCAAAATTTCTACCCTGGAGAAATCCGATGAGCTATGAAGCTCTTTATTTTACGGATGTAAAGTAGGGGCAGGTCAGAAAGTTACAACAACAAACAATACAAATCGTTTTCGGAAAGGCAAGCACATCACTAGCAATACATACAATAGATAAAGTATATACAGTACTGTACATGCAAATTGTTTAAGTATATACTCTTTGGATCTTTCGGTAAAGTCACGTAGTTAATTTTTTTTGTACCTACGTGACTTTACCGAAAGAACCAACGAGTATGGATTCCTGCAGTCACGAAAGCTTCAAATGAAGATTGTATAAGTACATTAATTGCTAAGCTTGGGGCAAGACAGACCACACCAAGACAACACACGGGCCACTCAATAAAATTGCACATTCAAATGGAGCTATCGATACATTGGTAAGGATTAAAGTTACAAATCAGATTTGCAAACGCAGTTGTATCTAGCAACAATCTTCGACGTCATATGCATGATGTTCAGGGAGGAAACGAGGTTGTTCCATAATGATGGTGCTGTAACGGCAAAGGCCGTTGTCACCTATTCCTCAACCATACTGCTATGTGTGTGTCTGTGTGTGTGTCTGTGGCCATGTTGTGGGGAGCGGTAGTGTAGCGGTGAGCGCGCTGCGCTATGAACCTGGCGACCCGGGTTCGATTCTCGCTCACTGCCAACACCAGTGACGATTATCTGAACCGGTCCCGGGCCTTCCCTAGGTCGACTCAGCCTCAAATGAGGATCTGGTGCGGTGTGTAAACATCGCCACTATGGAGACAAAGGCGGTAGGGCGTGGTGCTGGCCACCCCTCGTGTACCGTTCCGGCCTTCATAGGTGCTCGCTAACAGCACTTGCCCCTACAGTCTGTTAAAGGCTATATGGGGGATCTTTGATCTTTGATGTGTTTAGAATGACTTTCCTCCCTCTGGGGTGTTTGTATACTGGTTTATACATTCTCCTATTCGAGTCCACTCCCTCGATACAGTGGTGTTAGTCTGCTTTAGCTATGATTCCCCCCCCTTTAGTTCGACTCAGTCTAAGTATGAATATCTGTCGCGGTGTGAAATGATAGCTACTGGGGAGACAAAGGCGGTCGGGCAAGGCTTTGGTCATTACCCTTTAAATACATTGTTTGTCGCGTAGACTTGAGAACCATACTATCTAAACATGCCTCTTGCTGTCCTGAATGATTCTTAGGTCCAACGCTCCATTAACATTAAGTTTTACATGCGCAACCCAGAACTTATGGCGTGACAGTAATTGTTGATAAGAATATGCAAAATAAGTCAAATTAAAACCCTTTTTTCCTGCGCTGCATCGTCATATAACAGTACATCCAATCATCAAATTAACGTTTAATACCATGAAGTTTGAATATCCTATACTGGTGGTTGTCAATTTAAAACTTTACAAACTTTAACTGTCCAAATGCCTAATCTCTTTTGTGTGGGGGATAGCTGAATCAGCAGGGATGGCCACTTTGGCTTTTGTTGTCTCAAAGGAGGAGTTTCATAGCCTGTGTCACTCGTTATCAGCCCAAGCCATCAGCCTGTTGTTCGACTCTCCTCATTCCAATGCAAATCAGTTCGCCGTTTGCTTTTCACGCTTATGTCCAAAATACGATGACGTTAAAAACTAAGGCATTATCATTCTTAATATAAATTTGGGAAAATAATATACACACCACTATCAAGCTCTCAACATTCATGGCAGTGCTCCTTGTGGTTGCATCTCTAGTGGTTTTAGGCCCAGAATCAGTCCAGCGAGGTATTGCGTAATACGACATTGATCAAATGAACACCACTTTAAGGTAGTGATTGGAAGCGAACATCTGTCCAGAAAATATAATTTTGCCATGTAGTCGAATACCAGGGCTGTATTTAATTCATTTTTTTGTACTGGGACGTCCCTCAATATCTTTGTACAGAGAATCCTGGAAGTCTACGCTGAGATGGTGAACATAAAATGCAATCGGCTTGACCTTAATGGACAGTCTAGCTATTCAGAGGTGTCTGCACACAAATAGAATTATTTGAAGTGATCATCTGATCAATAGCGAGCGACACTATCTGATCCTACATCTAATCAGGTGCTGTAAGTTTTGATCCATTGCCAATGTGCTAAAGCTTTGTGGAGCACAAGTAAATATGACAAAAAATGGATGCATTCATCCAAGCTCTAAGAGGCCTATGTAACGGAATCAAACATGGTAAAACTGAAACTGCCACACTAATTATAAATTGGCAAATTAAGACGCAAGGTGACATTATTGTGCCAATGTTAAGCAAATGCCTTAGGTATATATCTTTATTTTTTTTTAACAAAGGTGGGTTTGTTAGAATCAGCGGCTTGCATATTCGTGGAGAAAATTGTTGAGAGAACAGATTCGATGATGGTCTATGTCGTATATCATCAAATTAAAATGAACTGCCAGAAAATTTCAACTTTCTAGAGAAGGCTGCTAAGACATGCTCGGGATCAAATATAAAAGTTTGCATTCTAAATGTAAATGGAATAACGGGACGTTCCAGAAAAGATTTGAGTGATTTTTGTAAAGCTATACTTGACAATTAAAAGCATATGGTTGAAGAGATGACACTTGTGGGTGTAATGAGCTGTAATGCCTTCCAATAAAATCCTATATCTTGCAAAAAACGGTATTCATCTGTGTTTTTTTCGGTAAAGTCACGTTCGTAAAAATAAAATAAATTAAAAATGAAAACAATTAAATTAAATCACGACGTTTCGGGCACAACACAAGCGTCCATCTTCAGGTGGAGACAAAACACAGAGAAAAAACAATCCCAGAAGAATTCCCTCATCAAGACTCTGCACCAAAGAGCCCAATGCATATCCGACCAGGAA